ACGCTAAAAGTAGTGTAAAGTTTTTTCGAGTGTTTTGAGTTTGAGAGAATGAAAGTTATGAGAGAGATTAGAAAGCTATGAAAACTAATAACGAGAGAGATCATCATCAAGGGATCGTAGTCTGGTCTCCCGCGGGAGACTGTAAGGATGTGATAGAGTAGGTTCTAGGTAGTAATCCTACGTATTCCACGATACTAAAACGGAACGCGTGGAAGCTTGTCTAGCATGATCTAGTAGCGTGGAAGTACTCCACGCTGGCTAAATATCTAGAGCGATTTTCATATCAAACCTAGTATGACTAGAGCGGTCATTGAGAACCCTGTCTCAAATGACTATTCACGAGAGACTCAGTCATGAGTCGAACTCAAACCCTATCTAGGATCGAGTCGCGAATAAGGCTAAGAGCCGTGTATTGCAGGAAGCCTGGTAATTGAATTGGAGAAAAGGATTGAGTCCAAGCCTGATGTGCTACAGGTACAGTTGAAGCCTAAAGCAGCTCCAGTAGCTGCTTTGGCTACTGGAATGCCCTAGTTTCAGCCAGGTCTTAAGCTATATAGCCATAATAATATTATACGATTTTAGCAAAAAGTGACTGAATTAAGTAGTTTTACTCTTGATCAGCACAAACTGCCTTATTATAGTCTCTTTAAAAGGTATCAGCCTAGCTAGTAGAATTAAAAGTCTTTAAAAATCTGCGGTGGGTCTCTTTTTAAAATGTGCTGATCGCTCTTCCCCTCCAGCGAGATTCGATTCTCCACGCATCCACGCCATGCAGTCACACTTGCAGCCATTTCAGTTTCCTCCTGGATGGAGTGGCCGCATCGAGCACCTCTACGTGAGCCTCGTCAACGCACCCATCACTTTTTTGATACCCAACGCTCTGAATGCGGCATGAAATTGGTTAGCTGGAAAGCAATAAGAGAGGCAAGCAAGAGAGGTTGGAAAGAAGCTCTGCGGGATTTTCTGGGATAGTTTCGTGCACAGTTTCTTACCAAGCCAAAGGTACTCTGCCTTTCGCATACACCCTGACTCGAGTGTGAGTGGGGAAATTTCGTTGCCAAATCTCTACCACAAAGCATGGAGACCAACGCACGACCGCCGGCTTCATCAAATTGCACCCAAACAACGGTTGGGAGCAATACAGGTAGGAGAGCGGTCTCATTTCTGCCGAATTTTCCACTCGAGGTGGAACCTCTTGACGCCAAAGAGGACTTTTCCAAGCAAGTATTCTACGTCGATGGTTTTGGTAGACGAGGCTAAGCGGCCAAGAGGCCAAGAGGAGTCGCACCGGGAAGATGAAGCAAAGAGGACGAAGAACGAGCCAACAAACACGACGATGGATTCCACCGAGCTAGCCTCTGCTGTTGCTCTCGCTTCTTTAGCTTCCTTCAGTCCTTCTACACAGAAGCCTACATCAAAGCCATTTGACCCACAAAATTCGCAACATGTCGAGAGGGCATTTTCGATGCCCGCTGCCTTGGAGAGCAGATCACCGTCGTCAGATCCCATGCCTGTTTCTCCTGATGTTCGTTCCCCTATTCGTGCTATTAAACGGGTTAGCTTTGCAAACTCGAACACCCCCCCAACTGGGGACACACAAGAGACTTTTGACTTCCACCATGCTGCAAGAGCACCTCCATCGGCGCAAGCGTTCCCAATCCAGTTCCCACCTAATGCGGTGACTGTTCTTCCCGGCCGCCCTGACTTTTCACACCCATGGATGCATCCAAGGATGCCGCCTCATCCTCCCCCCCACCATCCTCCTCCCAGAATGATGCACGGCCAATCCTTCAGTACCGATCTACATTGGATCTGTGATTATTGTAATGCTGCCGCCTTTAGCACGTACGAGGAAGCATGTGTACACGAACAAGCATGTAAGATGCAGTGCCGGCAGCATGGCACCGGCAGTCCAAGATTTCCACTGGGGCAGCAGCAAAGTAGCATGGCGACAGCTGGGAAGTCAAAGGTTGAAGGGGAAACGGGGAACGAAGTCCCGACCAGAGCTGCAAGCAACGTTGAATGGTTTAGTGGGTCGGTGTCACTGTGCATTCCAGACTCTGACGCAGAGTGGTTGTCCGAAATTAACTGCTTTCTCCGTAAGTATTGTGTCGAGGCTTTCTCCGCAACAGAAGAGGACGTCCTTTCCACATCCAAGCGTGGCCGTATTACGCTGCACCAGGTGGGCATCCGCTGTGTCCACTGTAAGCACAAACCCCTCAAGGAGAGGGCAGTTGCAGCAGTATCCTATCCCACATCAGTGGCTGGGATATACGAATCTGTCAAACGCTTTCACAGAATCCACGTCGAGCACTGCGAGTGTATCCCAGACCAAGTCAGAGCCAAGATGGTTGAGCTCAATAACTTAAACATTTGGATCCCAACCACACGTCAGTATTGGACAGATTCTGCGAGGGCGCTCGGTATGGTCGACACTGACGAGGGCATTCGCTTCAGTTGCGATCCTCAGTTCATCCGCTCGGTCAATGCACCAGACACAGCGGAGACGACCGCCTCCTCCCAGCAGGCTAGGAAGGATGAAGGCCAACGTTTGAAAGATGGTGATCACATTGTTTTCCCGGAAGATATGATGATTGTACCTGCATACGTCTACTTCTTGATGAGGCAAGTTGAAAGTTGTCACTTCAGCGAAGTTGATAGGTTTGTTGCCCGGTCGAAGGGTCCCGTAGGCTATCCAGGCTTTCAATGTCGTCATTGTTCCGGCCATGCTGGTCTGGGGAAATACTTTCCTGTATCGGCAAAGACGTTGTCCACCAACTCAACCAGCCAAAACATTCATGCACATCTGCTGAAGTGTCGCAAGTGCCCAGATGCCATAAAGGAGAAGCTAGTGGCCTTGAAGGTTGAAAAGAGCCGCGCACCCCGGTTGGAACCTGGCTGGAGGAAGCTCTTCTTCGACAAGGTATGGCAACGGCTTCATGGCGCCAACTAAGCACCGTATTTGCTTATCCATGGGAACTGGGAGCCCGCTGAAAGTAATTCTTGCTTTCTATTAGCAAGCGATGACCAATCCAACGCAAACAAGAATAAGACTAGCAAATAAGCCTTAAACCTTGTAGTAAATAGCAGTCGTTGCCAATCTTCAAGCTCTCTATCTGACGCGGCTTCCGAATGTTTCGAAGAGCGCACTGCCAAATCCTTCAATGCTTCCAGCAGACTCCACATTTTTTATGGCGTTAGCTTGCTCGTCTGGTGTCAGACACAAGACGGCACCGATCACAGGAATTAAAGCCTTCTTCTCCGTCAACGTCTTGGCATTGAGAAAGCTCATCATAATGTTCTTTAGGTACTCGACATTGGTTCTGCCGGATGTTGCCGCTGAAACGTCATCTCCGCCAACTGTCCCGCCAGGCGCCGCACTGAGCTTCTCGTATCTTTGCGATTTTGCTTTCTCCTCGTCCAACTCCCTGAGCGCAGCTTGCAAAGCTTCCTGAGCTTCGAACTTCTCCGACTGGACGTCCGAATACAAACTGGCAAGGCGATTGATCTCGTTGCGAGCAGTGTTGAGCTCGGCCTGCTTTTCTATGGCATAGAAGAGAGGAGCACCATTTTCCTTTCCTCCATTTGTGTGCTGTGGGGATGGAGGCGAGCCCGTACCCCCATTTGGCCCCTGCGCCTTCTCATCGGCAAGAGAATTCTCCAGCAGCTCCTTCAATTCCTCTATCGACTGGTTTTTCTCTCGCAGCTGCTCTTGAAGCATCATTATAGTTGCTTTGGATGTTGTATCTTCCGCTGCGGTTTGCGCTGAAGCTGTGGATGTAGGTTCGTCTACCGCACTTACAGATTGTGCCGCTCTGGCATCTGTCGCTGCTTTGGACTCCACACGTTGCAGTTGTTGTCGTAGTTTTTTCACGTCTTCACTGAGCCTGTTAGCAGATAGCCTTGCTTGTTCCAGTTCCTGTTGAAGATTACTAACTTTCGTGCGTTCCACTTCATTTTCTCGCGACTTTCTTCTGTGTTCCTCAACAAGTCCATCCTTTTCCGTCGCCAACGCTTCCAATTGCTTGGTCATCTCTGCGAGACTTGTCTTGGCTTTGCAGAGCTCGTCCTGGTTTAGTTTCACGTCAGCTTCGGCCTTGATCTTGGCTTCCTCCATTTCCTTATAGTATTCCTTTGCTTCCATAATCGCCTTCTTGCCATTGGACTCGGCTGTCATGGCTTTTGCCATCATGGAATCAGCTGTACTCCTTGCGGCACGTGCTTCTAACTCAGCTTCTTCCTTGGCTTGAATAGCAGCCGCCGCACGAGCGTTGGCAACAGAAAGCGAATTCTGAGCCTTCCTCTTGTAGCTAGCGAGGTTGTTTTCGAATGTTCCTTCTTGAGCCTTCATTTTTTTCCCGCTGTCTGCGAGCTGCCTTTGGAGACTTTCGATCGTAGAGCGTAGTTCACTCACTTCTTCGTCTTTCTCTGTTCCGGATCGGTCACGATCGCTTATCTGCGAGCCTAGGGATGAAATGTTTTCCTCCAGCTTCTCGTTGGCCTGTTCCAATTCTTCGATCTTATTGTTGAGGTCACGAACTTCAGCTCGCCTATCTTTGAGCTCTCCCGCAACGGTCTTGACTCTTGCTTTGAGAGCATTAAAATCGTCATTTGTAGCCCCCAGTTCCTTTTTGGTTTTTGCTAGTTCGTCCTATTCGTTTGCCGCGTGGTGAGCTTTGCTAATGACGGAGCAGAAAGGAGTTTCAACTGCATTCAGTTGTCTTACCTCAACTCGCTTCAGTTCCTTCTTCGTCTTTCCATGATCAAGTTCCATGCTCCTAATCTTTTTATCTGTTTCTTCACGCTCATGTTTGTTGGTTTCGTTGAATTTTTCAACATCCGTGTGTCTGAAAACGACATTGCAAAAAAGTGAGTGGCATCGAGACCCATGAATTGTCTTGGGGAAGACAGTCATCGCGGCTTACCTTTGCGACAGGAGTGCTTTGGTCCCCTCTACCTCTCGTTTCAAGCTGTCCAATCTAAGCTCGTTTCCTTCCTTGATACGAAGGAGCTCACGGACCTTGGTATCTTTCTCTTTCAGCTTTCCCTGGACTTGTGCCATCTCTTGGTCTTTGGAAGCCAACGCTGCGTCTAGATTCTTTTGATGCTCCAACTTTATTTCTTTGCGTTCTTCCTCGAACGACGCCTGGAGACGCTGAAGCTGTGCTGCGAATTGCTGTTTCACGAGCTCTGCATCAGGCCCCGCTGGGGCAGGAGCCATTGACGGTGTCGTGGCTTCGGTTGCCATTTCCGTATTTTCTGCTGGTGATAATTGAGTTGGCTCTTTGGAGTCAATTTCAACGTTTGCAGTATCGTTTGTGCCATCGTTTACTTTTGATTCTGCCTGGGGTGTGGCCTCGTCGGCTTTTTCCGAGGGAGCGATATTGCTACCTTCTCCTAATACGTCTTGCGAATTTTCCTGGCTTTCATTTGTAGCTTCCTTTTCGTCGGTATGCGAATCGGGAAGAGGTATCTCTTTCTGTGTCATCTCTGGATCCTTTGCATCTGTGTTATCGTTGGAGGTGTCTTGTTCTGTTGGTGGCATCTGCAGGTTTTGCTCGTGGTCGTGATTTTCTACCGCCTCTGGAGTTGCCTCTAGACTTGCACGGATTGTCTCCGGTGTTTCACTTTGTTGTTCGTTTTGAATCTCCTTTTGAGTGTCTTGAATTTCCTCCTTGACCTCCTCGTTAGCTTTGGGTTCATTGTCTTGTTGCTCTATTTCATGGACATGGTTACTACCTGTACTAGTGACAGTAGTATCGTGGTCCAGCTGTGCTATATCAACTGTCTGTTTGGTTTCTTCCTGTTCCTCCTCTACTGGATCCTTTTCTTGGGCTTCGGGAGTGTTGTTGTTGTTTTCTTTTTCTGTAGTGGGCTCAACGTCTTGTGATGGTTCAGCAATGTCAGTTTCTGGTTGATCGGCTGAATCTGTTGGTGTCAGTACTAGTAGTGGCTGCGGTGTGTCCTCTGCTTGTGTTTTTTTGGCGTCAGCTTTGGGTGATTTCTTGGACGGCACAATCAGTTTTCCCTTTGCTTCCGGCGGAGGCTGCTTCGGGGGGGGAGGTGGTGAAGCGGTCTCCGATAGGGTGGGCAGAGTGAAAGATAAGGTGGTGGACGTAGACGTGGTAGGGCTGGTGGCAGTGTTGTCGTCGTGTTTTTCGGCTCCTTCTCCTGGCTTGGTCGATTGCATGGCATCCAAATTGAACAATTCTCCAGACTGCAGAACAAATCATTGTCATTGTCATCGTCGAATCGAATCGAATCGAATCGGTGAGTCTGACATGTAGATAGGAAACGCACAAAAAAGCACAGCCAAATAAAGACAGACAAAGACTACAACACTACAACTCACAGTCATGCTAGAAGCCTGCTCCTGGAGAGCTTGGGCCTTCTTGGCCAAATCTGCAAAGCTAGAGCCCCACATCTTAATGGATTGCACTCCACCAAACTAGATCTCTTATTAATACCACTCCACTACAATAATACCTCTGCTGTTCATCAACAACAATGCTAATTGCTAATGCTACCGCGGTTCAATTTATTTATGGCTCGTCTTCTGTCTCTGTTTTGCCAGATCTTTCCATCAGCGATAACGGTATGGAATGAAGAGATATTGGGTAGCTCAGGGGCTAAATAGCACGGTAAAAAAGATAGATACTGTCCGGCGACTACATGTATCCAGGACTGATTTGTCTCGCGACTGTGTCAACCCTTTTCCCACCATCCATCTTTCTCGCGATCAATCCACATTCGCAGAACCGCAAACTAGACTTCATCTGTGGAAGTTTGGGAAGGACACACATCATAAAAGTACGATTGACCACATAGTTTGATTGTGATACAATAGAACATCGTCATGTCGTCTAAAAAGGAAAACGGAAGCAATGGCAGCAAGCGAAAGTTGGTGGAGCTGGACGAGGAAACCTTGAACTCGGGCGCAGAAGGGTAAGGTCATGTCTTTCTGGAGCAATCCCGCACCACTACCACACTGTTGGAGAGACGTTTCATCGGGTTGCTTGTCTTGCTCTCTTGTTGTGTTTGCTTACTTACCTACCATTGTCAATTACTGTCAATTACGTACTCTGTTTATGAATCTTAAGGTTCACTGCCTCCCAGGTATTTGTCAAGAATCCTGCCTGTGTCGCCTACACCTACGATGACTTGATCATGATGCCTGGACATATTCATTTCGGTGTGGGGGATGTCGACATTTCTTCCAATTTCACCAGGAACATTCGCTTGAACGCACCTTTCGTCTCATCTCCCATGGACACTGTCACAGAACATCAAATGGCCATCACCATGGCACTGCAGGGTGGAATTGGAATCATCCATTCCAACCTATCCATCGAAGAGCAAGCCGCTGAAGTCAGAATCGTCAAGAAATTCAAAAACGGTTTCATTCTCGATCCCGTATGCTTGGGCCCTGAAAGTACTGCGGCGGATGTTCTTAAAATTAAAAGACAAAAGGGATTCTCATCCTTTCCCATAACCGACAATGGAAAAATTGGTGGCAGACTCATGGGTATCATTTCAAATCGAGATACTGCTTTCATCGAAGATCGAAAGGCCAAAGTCAAAGAGTTCATGACACCACGCGAAAAACTTGTCGTGGCCAAGGATGGAGTCAGTCTTCAGGAAGCTAACGAAATACTCAAGACAAGCAAGAAGGGAAAACTACCCGTTGTCAACGAAAATGATGAAATCGTGGCTTTAATCGCAAGGACAGATCTACAAAAGAACAGGGACAATCCCCTCGCTTCCAAAGACAAAGTCAACAAACAGCTTCTCGTGGGGGCGGCTATTGGAACCAGACCCACCGATCGTGATCGAGCTGCTGCTCTCGTAGAAGCAGGGGTTAACGTCATTATCATTGACTCTTCCCAGGGAGACTCAGTCTACCAGATTGAAATGGTCCAGTATCTCAAGGAAAAGTACCCAGATGTAGACATTATCGCTGGAAACGTTGTCACACCCTCGCAAGCCAATCGTTTGATCCAAGCTGGTGCCGACGGTCTTCGAGTTGGGATGGGGATTGGATCCATCTGTACAACCCAGGAAGTCTGTGCTGTTGGACGTGCACAGGCAAGTGCGGTCTATCACGTGGCCAAGTTTGCCAAGAAATTCGGAGTGCCAATCATTGCGGATGGTGGTGTCAAGTCGACTGGACATATCACCAAAGCGCTTTGCCTCGGAGCTGGATCTGTCATGATGGGAAGCATGGTGGCGGGCACTGATGAATCTCCCGGTGAGTACTTCTATCAAGATGGAGTTCGACTCAAGCGATACCGGGGCATGGGTAGCGTCGAGGCAATGGATGCTGGAGGCGATAAACGATACGTTTGGGACGACATGACAACCAAAGTCAAAGTTGCTCAAGGTGTCAGTGGAGCCGTGCAGGACAAGGGAACTTTGCGTCGCTACATCCCCTACTTGATGCAGGGCGTCGGTCATGGACTTCAGGATGCCGGAATCAAGAGCGTCGCAGAAGCTCACGAAAAATTGTATTCGGACAAGTTGCGCTTTGAGATTCGCTCGCCAGCAGCTCAGAAGGAAGGTAGCGTGCATGGTCTTCACAGCTACCAGAAGCGTTTGTACTAGCTAGCTACCGTAGGCAGCTATCAGAAAACTCTCTTGTCTGCACAAGGCGCCCAAGGATCCAGAAAGTTCCAAGAAGTTGTTTGCGGAAGCGCAGTATCATGATAAGTTTTAGAATGCATAGATCTAGTTGGCTTTGGTGTTTGCGCTTCGACAATAAATTAATTTCTTCTTGGCTGACTGGCTAGACTATCCGGATACGATTGATACTGACTAGAGCTCAACCAAGGTTATTTACTAGTAATTGCTGAATTCTGCTGAATCTTGCTGAACTTGCTGAATCCATTGCTTAAAAATTCTGACTGATGCTGACTGATGCTGAAATTGCTGAATCTGATGCTGAATTTGCTGAATCCAGTTTCAGCAAAAATAAGCAATTACCGTGTCTTCCAGAATGAGCGGGAATCCACCAACTGTGGCATGTGGTGAAGGGGGTCGAACGGATTCAGGATCTCTGCGTTATCGGGTTGATGTTTGCCGAAGCCGGATTGACCGTCACGGGTGTCGACACCGATTTGAACCGGGTTGCAACGCAAGAGAGAGCTACAATTTCAATAGAAGGCTCCAACAAAAAGGGCTCTATCATTATTTGTTCAAAGTGGAGACTTGTTTAAAATCCTTTTCCCTTCAATACCTTGAAAACATCCACGGCACCAGCCTCAAAAAAAATCTCCAGCGTTGTCACGGCTTATCGTTGAAAGCCATCCATGCTTTGTGGTTGTTAATTTCGTTTTTTTGGTTGGACTTTCTGCACAGGGTTGGTCATCTTCACAAGTACCCGGCCTTGCGGTTGCCTTTTCATAGCTGGGGTACTGGACCCATAAGGCGCAAACAGCCGTGAGCTGTTCCGACCACTTGTGGCTTAACCTTCTTCCAATCGGTTTCCACCTGCCCAGACTGACGTTGCTTTGCCTTGCCACGCTCTTCGTGATACAGAAGTGGTGGCGTTATTGTTCTCAATGCATCAGTTTGATTAAAGTCCTCTCTGAACTTTGCTTGCGAGAGACAGACCAAGTAATCTGTATAGTTCTCATTCCACAACAAAAAGACAAGATCAGGCCCGAAATGGTCGTCGGGGTAGCAGAAGGGAGGAACTTGTCCTTCGAATTAAAATTCATCCGAGGCTGCCTGTTTCAGCCAGTTGATTGTCTTCCGATATCCATCTTACAGCTCGCCGCAAGCACTCCATAAGCCGATTTAGTGGACACACGGTACTGCGACAACACCTGATTCTCCTCTTTGTGCTGTTTTTCCAGCACCTTCGCAAAATTGTCTTGAATCGCAGGCAACATTATCTTTTCAAAAGCCTCACCTTGACCCCCCTTTTCTTGTGCCAGAAGATTGGTCAAAGCCGATCCCTTTAAGGAAAAATAATTGATGCCCGCCTCAACCATAATGGGTTCGTCCAAAACAGTCCTTGAGCCTCTTTCATCTACACGGATAGCAACCAGACCAACTTCGATGAGACGCATATCATTTTCTTCAATGATAACTTCTTCTCCGCCGACGGCGAACTTGAACACCGCCCTCTGCAGTGTTCCTATGAGATCTTCTTCCGCGTATCTTACAAAAGCGTCTCGCATTGCTTTGAAAGGCGACCCTTTCTCTGGCGTGAACGACCCCCTTCGATCATCAGTTGTCTCTGGGTCCTTGGTGTAGACGGCACGATATTGGTCTAGTGCTTCCAACAGCTTGGCTGACGAAGGCGAAAACGATCCACGAGTCCCTTTGCAGCTCTCTCTCGTTTTACGTACCAAATAAGCTTCCAGAAAAGACGCTGTCCATCTCGGACGGCCACGAAGCCACTTGCATAGGTGCCGCAAAACAGCTTCATCAATGTCCTTCTCCTCCAAATCAAGAACAGAATACAGGTACTCTTTGACATTCTTTTCCTCGAAGGGTGCGAAGTTTTTAAAGATGGAGAAGGGTCCTGGCGACCCAATCCCTTTGGCGATGATAGAATTTGTCGTGTCCTCGAAATCGTCCATTGACATGCCCGTCCCAGCAAACACAGGGTGTCCATTCTTGTTATAGCAGGATAGAGCTAGCTTCTCAAACCCTGTTAGTACTGCAGAGAAGGCAGAGCGCTCCTTTTTCCCGTCCGAGCTGAGGAAGAAAGTAGTCAGTTTATTTGGCAGCACCTGAGTTTCGTCAACTACCAGAACATGCCATTGCGGCATATCAGGCCCAATCATCGCTTCGCTAGCGCTGTTGTCGATGCTGCCGATCAATTTCTTCTGGTTATAGAGGTAAATGCCCAATTGGGTGGCGCAAGAAAAAGGTCGCCTTCAAACCCACTGGAAACGCAAAATTTGAGTGCCTCCTCTGGATACAGCTGAATCAGAAGCCATTGAAATGCGTCGAGTTCTTCGTGTCTCTCTCCCAACTGTTCGTTGACGGCCTTGTACACCAAATTGCGAACAAAAACCATAATATACAAGTAGAACTCCATGGTCTCATAATTCTTCTCACTCAATTTCTTGTAGTGGGTTAGATATTGGGAATCCCCGTCCACAGTGAAATTAATATTTCTGATTCGATTCTGAAAGCTTCGAGGGCCTTTTCCAAATCGCGGGAGCCGGCGTCGTGTTTGGTACTTGCCACAAAATAAAGTCCAAGGTTGCGGCTCAGGTATTCCAAGACGGAGCGTGTCTTGCCCGCGCCCGAGGTTCCATAAAGACCAATCATCCCGCCCTTGTTGGCCTCAATGTGCTCATAGACTTTTTCCGTGTGGCTTTCCGAGTTTGGGAGACCGTTCAATACGAGGCTTGGGTATTTATCTCTTCTGGGATCGCGGTACAAAGTCTTGTTGGTAGAAAGGAATTCCGCCAAAAGACCGTCTTCTGGCGGCGTAAACTCCCTCAACTTGAAGAGCTGATAAGGGTGATTCTCAAAATTATTTTTCACAAGCCTTTCGCATCCCTCCCGGACGCTCAGGGGCTGACCATCGAGCGCCATGTTTGTTTCCAGGAATTTGTTTGACTGTTGTTTCACTCGCTTATATGGCTGCTCGTTTTGAGCGTTAGTTGCATGTGTGCCTTTGACTCGACTCGACTCGACTCTGGCTCTTTCGTCAAACTGAGCCAGACATGCTCGGTACAGTGTACTGGTACGTACCATCGTACGAACCGTTATTACGAACACGAGCCGTTACAACAAGTCCAGTGGCTTAACTGTTTCAGGCTGTTTCCTCGCTTGACGGGCGTTTAACGTGGGAGCTGGAAGGGCTGGTCCGCAGCTGGCAATGCAAGGCATGTCGCAGGTGCGGGCCTTCGTGGCTGCGCATCCGTTTTGCGATGGGGGCAATGAATGGAATTCAAGACAGCTCTGATGGCTCGATTTATATATACATAATATGTAATTGGCCGTGGGTGGGGATGTGGGGATTTCTATGTGCAAGGTCTTATATCTTCGCTTGACAGATGGCGGAGAAAGCCATTTGGGGATTGAATTTTGCAGTTCTTTTCCTGAGGACAGCATGGGATTCCGGTTTCAGGTAGATGCGGTAAATGAATATCTGTTTCAATTTTTGTATAATTTAATATCCTTAACCCTATTGATTACCTCAACCACCTACCCATAGTCTTCTTTGGTGTCTGAGCAGCAGCTGTTCACGCTTCCTCGGAATGCGTAAAGTACGTGTCTTCCCCACTCTTTCCCACTCAGCTTCCCAAGAAGAAGATGAACAGCTGCAGACATCACATTTTTGCAGCCAGCTGCTCAATCTCATGATGCCTCCAAATGAGAGCGAATACATGCACATCCATCTGCAGCAGAAGCACAGGCTGCTATTAATAGCTAGCTACCGGTAGCTAGCTAGCTAGTAGAGCCATCAACAACCACAAGCCACACAATCACACCCGGATAAAGGCAAACGAATCGAATCGAGCGGAACCATCTAGCTAGTAGCGAAGGACAAGAAAGAGCGAGACACAGCAGGAGCGACACTGACACTCTATTGACAATCTGTTTGATCACAATGGACGATCCTGATCCTGACAAGATGGATCTAGCGCTGAACGCTGAGTTTGATTCCTCGTTGCTCGGATGTTGGGAGCCAACGGATGGCGGAAAGAACGACGCCAACAAAGACGAAGGTGGTAGTACGGCCATGTTGTCTCAGTCTCATGCCAATGAAGAACGTGTCAATGATAGCGGAGGCGGCTTGGGTGGCTTTGGTGGTAGAAGCACCTCTCCACGCTTCGCGAGAATGCCATCATTCACCATGGTGACTGAAAAGCAGAACGATGGCGGCAAGCAGAATGACTTACAAAGCAACCAGGGGCAGCAGCAGCAGCAGCAGCAACAGCAGACACCATGGCATCAGATGGCATCTTCAACTGGGCAAACGAGCGCCAACATTCCATACGCTTCCGGCAACACTACCGGTACGGGAACAAACAAGGATAACCTGACAACGAATGATACAACAGATGGAAACAATGGGGATTCAAGAATAGCAACAGCGGGAAATACATTCACGAACAGAATCGCAGCACATAGAAGCAGTCTAGAGGGGAATCCTAACTCAAGGAATGTGCAGACAACAACGGCTCCGGAAGTTTCAAACACCACCCAGATGCACCCGCTGGCCATTCCTTCGTCGGCTACTTGTCCTCCTCATATTGTGACGACGGCTCATCAGGCCGGCCATCCGCAAATACAGACTGTGATGGGCATCCAAAACACTCTCTTCCCCATTCAGACCATGGCATTGACAACCCTCGGCGGTTCTTCGGCTCCCTTTGCTGCAGGATTGCCATTTACAACCGCGTCACATGGTGACGCAGGCCAGAGCACCGGCATGGATGCGATGCAACAACAGCAAGGACAGAATGAACAACAACAACAAAATGCATGCCATCACAAAGACAAACAACAACAGCAACAACAACAGCTGCAGAATACATCTGCCTTGGTGTTCCAGTCACTCCCAGGGGGGCAGCAGCAACCGCAGCAACAAGTAGGTCAATCTCCGCAGCAGCAACAACAACAGCAGCAAGTCGCAGAAAGCAGCAATAACAACAGCAACTCCTCAACACCGCCGCCCTTCTACCTCTTTGACGCCCCGGTTGAGCTGCGCGTCAACTTCATGCAGTCGCAACGCATGCATGGACTACCGGTCACTGAGGATAGCAACTCGTATCACTATGGGGTTGCAGTGAATGGTTTTCACCCACAGCTCGCCACAGGGCAGCTCAATGGTTCTGCCTTACCCGGCACTAACGGCACTCCTGGTGCAAACAACAACTACCCAACCAATGTCCAGCTCGTGGATGCGCGTCACAGCAATCGAAAGGCCGGAAGAATCAAGAATGAACGGGAGCAAAGGCGGGCACAGAAGATAACGGAACTGATTGATCAGCTCCGGGAAAAGATGGAACATGGTGGCTGGAATGTTCAAGTCAAGAGCAAGTTCCACACTTTGTCATCGTAAGTAGGCGGCAGCGGGTCTCTTTTGTTTTGCCAACTGGTCATTGTTGCTAATCATCTCGTCTCTGTAAACCTGCGTCTCACACACTCGATCCTTCAGCTGCGCTGATTACGTGAAGCACCTCATGAAGACTACTCAAGAGAAGGAAGATGCCGTCAACAAGGCCAAGTCGGACTTGCAGATGAAGGAACGCAAGGTTGAACAAGAAAAGGCACTTCAAGAGTCCAGATCAGATCCGGAAAGCGTCATGTCGAGTCTGACATCATCGACGGGAGACTCTGGAACATCCAACCGCCACAACACCAAAAAGGTCAGCTCAGAAAGCAGTTGCACGGAGGACGAACAACGCAAACGAAAGTTTTCTTCTTCCGATAGAGCGGGCAGCAGCAAGAAGAGCCGGAGCGATAACATGACCTCCGAGCATTCCTCTGAATCTGGCGAAGAGCGAGATTCTCAGCAACTGAATCAGCAATCTTTGGACAAAACCACGTCAAGTGTGTCTGACATTACAGAAAGCAACAAGGATTCCTCGAACTCTGGGACCGATTCGCAGAATTCAAATCAACGATCGGATGACGACGACGAAAGTGGCACGCCCTCTTCCATCAGTGCCTCATCGAGTGCAGCAGTCGTGCAGAATAAGAAACGTACGAAGCATGCTGATGTTGTCATCAAGGAACGCGGCAACAAATTCCCGGCGGAAGTGACTTCGCTGGAAGAAAGCTTTGTTCTGGACTACGAAGAAGTCTTTGTCAGGTCCAATGTCCCACAGATAATTGCGACGACGGCTGGACGTATTGTTGCTTGTAAGCTCCTGTGTTTGCGACCCGATCTATCGTCCTAGACTGAAACTCACAATTGAACCGTATCTCTTTAGGGAACGACTTCTTCTTGAAAGCCACTGGGATATCCAAAGCGGGTGTGAAGGGTTTGACAATCTTCAGCCTTGTCAAACAAGACAAACTTTCCAACCTCTTTGAGATTGTAGCCAAAGCTCTCCGTAAGGGTGCGGCGCCAAGTGAGGTCACAGCAGAAGGGTCCTCCAATGCCGGTGATGGTCCGAAATGGGACTATACAGGAATGACCCTCCCTTGCATGGACTTCCCCAAGACAAAAGAACGAGCCAAAAATGGAAAACCCACGGTGAATCCATTGTATATCACTGTAGGTGGCGGCTCTACATTTCGTGCTATTAGCTTGTTGCTCCTCCGAAATCTCACCCGTAACCTTGTTTCATTTACAGGTGACGCTCATGGCCGACGAAGACCCACGGAAGCGTTTGTTTCATTGCATCTTCACTGATTCCCCAGGCACAAAGGGAGCTCTTGGGTCAATCACCAAAGATCTCCTCGCCATCCTATTCACCCGCACAAAACACCGCAAGAGCTTGGACCAGTCGGAGTCTCGAAAAGCCAAAAGCGAGAAATCTAGTCTCAGGGAGAAATAGGTGCCTACCGGTACCATACATGCTTCGACAGAAGGCATCTTACGGGGATAAGGTAACATGCAATAAGTTGATCTAGATTATTATACACTCTTCCCAAACTGAAACAGGAATAGCATGTGATATTGCACAGTGCCGGCATCGATAGGCGAAGAGGGACGCACCACCCACAACAGTACGGGAAGTACCATTACAGCGTTCTACTAGTAGCTAGCAAGTAAGTAGTAGTCTAGTAGTTGACTGTGCTATTCAAGAATCAAAGTTAGCCTTATTATTAGATGTCTGTGGCGTTTTTGGTGAGTCCTCACCAATGAGCCCAGTGAGCCCAGTTGTAGCGGTCTGGCTTGGGCATGCTATGCCAAACAACCTGAAAGGCTCGCATTCGTTGTTTGACGCATTTTAGAGGGCCCCAAATCAAATCATCCGATTGTAGCAAAGAGTGACCGGACTTAAAAGAAAATCTACCTTAGCTTCGGAGAGACGACGCATGTTTATAGCCGCCGTCGGTTGGACACACCGAGCTGAGTTCAATACTTCTGGCTCCCTTTCGGTGAAGGCAAGCAGCTTGAGCATATACAAAGCAGCAAGACGAAGAAGACCGTCAGTAGACCAGCGGCCCATGCCCAACTAGCTGAAGCCCACAGATCTGGATGATCCACAAAGACCGCGATCAAGGGGTCAAAGAAGTTCTCTTCAAGATTGTTAAAAAGACCATTCCCATTCTCCAAATAGGCGCCATCTGGTATCAGAGAATCGGAACATCCAGGGGAGGTGTCCTTCTGATCAAAACACTCGCACTGAGGTCTCACGGTGCCGTTTACTGTATTGGCATAGTTGCAAATGCCTCTTCCAGCGCAGTTGAAGGGACATGCAAAAAGGTCGGGGCATACAGTGCTAAGACGGGGGCATGTAATCGTTTGTGCCAGCAGACCGGCTCCAACACGAGTCTCAAGCTCCTGGAAATCGTACTGGCAAGTAAGCCATTCGCCCCGAACGTTTATTTTCAATGCCATGATGTCTTGCACACATGCAGTTCTGTAGCACCTGCCTTCACCAGCAGTGGATTCGATGCAGCGACTATCTTGCCCCCAGATCTCACTTCAAAGGAGAATCGAATCACAAGATTGAGATAAAGAAGAGTCAGATGCGACACAGAAAACTGCAAATCTTACCTGTACAGGTTGTAGGTATTGGCATTGGTTGATTCTCGACAGTCAAGCTGTTCGGCCTCTAGGCCTTCGTATGTACTGCCAAACAAGGGGCAGAAATCTGCGGGAAGAAGGAAAGTGCGATATGTGAGCGGCATGCTGTCGTCACGACGCCGTTGTGATGGCTGACACAACTTACCGGCCTGCCGCGGCCCGCCCAGAGTTGGCAAACCGTCAAAATACTGAAAGTGCTTGTCGGGGAGATCCCGTGGCACAATGTGATAGTAGTCGTTGATGGTGCATCCCATTTTGTGCGTGTGCCCAGAGGAGCAGCCTTTTTGCGCCTTGTCGCTGCAAAAGTAGCCTCTGCCATAGTCGGGCACGGAAGCAGCCCCGTTTGCGTCCGTAGCGATACACGGACCCGTAGCAAAGTCGCATCCAGCGCCGAGACCCTGAAAACAGAGGCACCAAGGAAGACCTTTGAGTTTGAAGCAACAAATTGCACTTTTCAACTGCAGCAACAATGGCCTTACCCATGGACTGATTCTTGCCTGTGTATAGTTGGCCTTGATTGAGGAGCGATAGATCAGTAAGTGAAGGCACAGAAGGGGCACAGTAGCTATAGAGAGATGAGACGGGTTGTCCCCGACGAATTACCTTATACCATCCTGAGTCTTCGAATAGGGCCAGCGTCATTGGAGTGAGTATGTTTGTCGTGGGTGATATCACTCCGGATAGAGCGTTATCGTAGTAGAGACGTTCGTCCCAGTGGTCACCTGTACAGGAATCAGCTCCAGTTGGCTGATTCTCTAATTGAGCTCTATACGAGTAAGAGAGATAGAGGCGCAAACACGATATCAGCCAAAGTCAAAATATCATCGTACGTAAGGTAAAATTGCAACAACAACGCTTACCCGTCGAGAGACTGACAGTCAAACTGATTCCTAGCGATAGCTCGAACCTTTGGGGTAACAATGCTCGCGAAGCGTTGCCCATTTGACGCTTCCACGAATGCCATTGTATTATCGGCAGGCAAAATGAGCGACCGAGATACCCCGTCTACACATGTTACTTGTCGCGTTGAAAAGGGTCTAGGAGTCAGAGCTTCTCCGGTGTCGGGGTCACGAAAGAATCTATAACTATTGGAAGAGTGACCCAAGATGTGCGAAACTGTGGTAGGGCGATTTGTGAGAACGGGTATGCAGGCAACTCGCTGCAAGAAAGCCACGACTTCCATCTTGCTCACCCTCGTGAATTGCTAAAGTTCCATTACGCTCAAGTGAGAATTGGGCAGTTCTTCGTTAGGCGCCAATGCTCAACGGGTACTAGTACGTACCGACGTCCACGTTGTCTTGTATGACCGCTGGCGAAGCGGTCCCATCCGCGTTGAGCTCCACTGTTGAGAGGCAAACGTTGATTGCCCCGGCTGTTGTTGAGAAAGAGACCATCCGAATGTGAGCCAAACTTTGCACATGGGCTAATCAATGAAAGAATGGAGCTTACCAATGGGACGGTCGAACTGGTCAAAGTTGCTAAATTGCGCAAGGGATACACGTGAGAGAATTTGATATGAGATCAGATGGACTCTTTCAGCTGAAGGGTTGGCACGGTTTGAGCTTACCATGCCTACACACGGCGGGTTGAGACCACAAGCAAGACACATGTAAGGTATGGCGAGAAAGTGAAGTAGTTGTCCTCTCCAATTTGGCATGGGTAACTCACAACAGCCTGTATTTGGGTTGCAACACAAAACGTCGTAAGACTACAGAGAGCACCAACAAATGTACCGGTACTGTATGGACAAAGGTGCTGGGCACAGTACTTACGACAGCCTTTCATGTCCAGTTGTGAAGAAATGGCAAAGCACAGATTTTGGAGTGAGACTTTACGATTTGACTGGCACAGACAAACTATTAGAATATATCATCAGGCAAACCAAAACTAACCAAAGTCTGATAGCTGCAGAATCGGCTACTTGGCGTCCCGCTGACATATAATACGAGGTCAGCTCCTTCGATACCCTGACTAATATGTTCACTAGGAACTCGAGTGAACTCGTAGTCCCCGCAATATTCGCGGTTGTCGAGTTCTCCGGTGGATATCCGTAGGGGGCCACTAACGGGCACCACGGCCAGAGCTTGAGACCAGAAGGACGCAGTTCTGGGAAGAATCTCATTCTTGATGAAGTCAATCTTAGCAGCGTTCGAAGCGTCTCGCATATCATCCAGGGATTTGGTCTCGAATCGAATCCTCATTGGCTTGAAAAACGTCCCAGCAAATTGAGATTGCGCGGCTCCATTGCCTTCTTGCATCTTCCTTCTTGCTTCCCAGGGATGATTGTCGTACGGAACAGAATGGTTCGGATCCACATTAAACCCAGTTTGACTTCGTTGAGTCTTTTCCTCTATTGCTCGAAGCTCTTGCCGAATTGCTGCTGCTTCAGGGGAGTCAGATTTGTGGATTGATTGGACCCGTCTGACCCCATAATTGTCGTTCGAGTACTTTGCGGTGCCTCTTACATTATTTTCTGTGACTCTTGTGCCTGAAGCAGACGATTCAGCCGCGTTAACACCAGCGCCGGAACCACCTAGTCGAGACGCTACCATTGCCAGAACAAGGATCAGAGTCGCCCTCATCATGTTGCTTTAAGAAGGGTAGCTCTTGAATGCTCAATCGGAATGATAGAATAAATAGAAGGTCAATGGACGCGGTGCAAGCAAAAAGTATGTCAATAATGGCAGTAAATCGGTTTGGGTCAACACGTGAGATAACGGCTCTGCCGATTGGGTCCCGGGCGGGCAAACAAAATTTTTGTCCACCTGTCACGCCACAACTGAAACCTCCAAGCAAGCGCTGCAAGTTACCTACATGTACATGTGGTACATTATTATGTAGCTAGCTAGCTGGAGTGGCTATGGTGGCTACGACTGCACTATGAGTAGTTAGCAGCTCTTATTTCTAGAGAGAGCTAGCTAGTAAAGTAGATAGCTGTTCTCTGCTTTTACTCCTATCGGCAATAATTCCGAATAGTACTAGTAGTAGTAGGAAGCTTCAGCGGTCACATTATGCATAAAGCCAAACAGATAATCTACTGGAGTAGTACATTTACTACTCCAAAAGAATATGCCATAGGGATAATCACACGGGAACGGTGGTCAGAGTCGTGTTGAGCCATCTTCGGTCCTGCCTGAAGCAAAGGCTCCCACTCCTCTTCTTGGTCGTTGTTGAACAACCCTGCTGGTCAAAGCGGCAACCTCTTGGTCTATTATAGGAAGCGGTGCAAGCAAATCTCTTCACAAACCATCCCAGTTCCTTACAGCACGCTGCACAGTCGTACCTGCGTGATGTTCGTATCCCGCAAGTCTCCTCCAAGGATTCTCGGTTCAGCGCAGCTGGCCACCAAAAAAACTACCATATTTGCTGGTCATCGTCCCCTCCAGTGTTGATTGCGGATGAAGCTTCAACCAAGGTCAGGTTCGAAGCAATGAATGAAGAGAATTCAATCAGAAGCTGACTGCGGAGTGCAGCGGTACCTGTAGCTCGATTCGTCATTGGCCAGCTAGAAAAGATACTGTATGTGGTCCGAGCCATTACTACTAGCTAGTATTAATAGGCTACCGTGCAAGATGGCCTTTGTCTTGAAAGCGGTGATACCGGTACTAGCAGTACTGCTTTGCGCTAGGAAAATAAAGTGTTGTCAAAGCAAAATCTATCTAGCTAGACTACGGCTGGGCCACCTTGGTTCCGTCATCAGCTCTTGCCCTCAAGTACCAGTACAGTTGTAACTTGGTGTTCTTAAACGCTCTGCTGTCTTCTGACGCAAATTTAAAATGTTTGAGATTTAACAACCATGCACGAATCATACCGTCCCCGCGTGGCTCCTTCCATCCAAACGAGCTCAACAAAACATCACCACCGCTGCGTCCGCTTTGACCCGCCATTGATCATAAAGCTGAGATGGAAAGATGGCGACCGAAACGCTGTGGACGATCGGCCAAGAGGTGAATGTTACGCCTCGTACTTGGCCTGGGTAAGTTCTTGGGCATTTGGTCTCTCATGGGATGGCCCCTGCAAGATATATCCTAACATGAACATGCTGTATCACCTCCGCCACAAACAAACCAATCTAGAATTAACAAACCCGGTGGCCATGGCAAGATTGTCAAAATTCACTACTCGAGTCTTGGAGTTGTTGACGGCCTTGATGTCAAATATACCCTCAACAATAGTACGGACAAAAACTTGGAGGCAGACCTTGTCACACCGCACGTGGAGCTCGACAGAGGGCGTCGAAGTCGAAGGAGCCGAGAATTTTTGACGATGGAGCAGCCATCGGTGAAAAAGAGGTGCGTTTCTAAGAGAAATCAGCCTACTCCAGTGGCTTATGATGAGGACAGTAGTGAGGATGAGAATGAGGACAGTAGTGAGTGTGAGGATGAGAATGAGGACAGTAGTGAGGATGAGAAAGAGAACAAGTGCTGTGGAGACTCCAAATCAAACAGTATCAAAGCGCGTGCTGATGCAAATAAGTCCAGAAGAAATGAAATTTTCACTAAAAATGTCGCCGGGAAGCAGTCTGATCGAGATCCTTTGAAGCAGAAATACAGCAACAACAGACGAGAAATCGCAGCGGCACCCCAAACAACAAAAAAACCATTCAGGAAGAGTTCTCCTGTGGCGCTTGCAAGCCCTGCGAAGAAATGCAAGCCACCTTCCATAGAAGTTCCTCGTCTTGTGGTGACAAACGCCATTCAACTAGGAGTCTCAGTTTCACCACTGGCTGGAGGCGCCAGCAATGACAATCGCCGACAAACGAGCTCCCATGCAGCTGTGTCAAACGATGAAATTTCTACGCATGTAAGCAGATGCCCAAAGCAAGCGAAAACGAATCATGCCTCGATCCCCAATCTTGGAGGAGCCAAATTGAAAAGATCATATGATCGCGACATTCAAGAAGGGAGCATCTTCCTTAATGACATTGTTGCAAGCAAACCAACAACTGTGGCAGCAAAGAAACCAGCTCCACCACCCCCAGTCAGGGTGGTCAAGACTGAAAGTGAGCGTCTCCAGGAAGAGTAAGTTTTGTGACATTCGAGTCCACAATGTCCAAAGAGTTGCTCGACGTTTCTCAGCTTTTCCTACTTTACTTTGTTGGCATAGACGATTTCAGTTGTTCTCGAAGCTCTTCAACGACATCTCGCATCGCAACGATGACTCAATTCCAGCTAATGAGTTGACAGCGATGATCAACTCCTCTGGCAAATCATCGTCAGTATTCAAGCCATTTTCTCATGAGGAAGCGCAAAGCTTCGTGGATGAGCTTTGTAGACAAGATAAAGCCATGCAGAGTGAGGGCACTTACTTTGCCTGTTGAAATAGATGCCGATCATGGTTTGAGGCCAAGTCAACTGCTCTCCTACGGTACATTGGACAACGGCCCAAGACAAGAAAGACAAGAGTTTAGTCTTGTGCCTCATTTGTACAGTATCACATAGCATTTAAAAAACATAGCGAAGAGGAAACGCACCTTTGCCACGAGACACAAAGATGTGCCAGCACTTCCAAAGTCAACCTTATCCCGCCTTTCCCACAATCGTTTCATCATCAACAACCAACCCAAGAACTGGCTATTGCTGCGTCAACATCAGAGCTGCTCCCGGTATTGGCAGAGAGACTAGACTGGGTGATCCTGGAAACGCCAAATTTCTATTTTGACCAAGTCCAAGCTGGCTGGCCAACCCATACCGTAGAACTGGTGGTGATGGTTTCCTGAAGCCTGATGTGCAATTGACAATGATGTCTGAGTGTCATCGGTAGACCACCAAAGTACCTACTAGTACCGGTACCTTATTCGAAGATGAAGGTGATGGATATGGGTACAGTACTAGTAGCTGTACATGTACATCTCCATCCACAGAACATTCTCAAGAGGAAGGTTACCGCACAGTACCTGTACGATAATACCAACCTGATGAAAGCAAGGTGTCTGTGTCCGGGCTAGAGACTAATTCGTGTCGTGAGGTTGCTACACTTCTACCTCATGAATGAGATAACTCTATTTTTAGTCCAGTACTGGAGGTATCTTAACCGATTCAGCCACAGCAACACTGAGTTATTATCTTAGAAGCAGCCCACTCTCAGTATCTTTCATATCTTATTGCCACTAGCAGCTATTGTCACATACCCCTACTACTAACCATACCCTCAGACAGTGAGGAGCCACCACCAAAGCTCAAGAAGGCAAAGGTGCAAAGCCAAAAATTGATGCAACCAAAGATGTTGTGGTAGAGAGGCACCCTAAGATTCGGATATGGAGTACTGGGATGTAGATGGTGATGTGGAAGATAATGGGTACTAGCTGCATTCATTCCCCACATAGTATTAGTATTAGCTTAGGGATTGAGACCTCAGTAGTCGTAGCTTATCTTCCTGGTTCGGGAAATCTGAGTGTCCGGGTTATCTAAACATTTCTGAAAAGTTGAGTACTCGGTATCTTAAATCCACTTATCTTTTAATTAATTAAGTGTGAGTGAGGAGTGTAAGGCACAGGTCGAAGCACGATTGGAATTCATTCATGGGTTCCTGTGATTGATCCAACGCTCGGATCCTTTTTTGCTTGCATCCATCAAAAGTTAACTGCTGTCGATCGAAGCAATTCCGGTTTGTTCGCTGTAGCTTTCGTCTTTATCCGCTCTGTTTCTTGTTCTACATTTAATTTCGTTTCAAGTTTCTCCGCCTGCCAATTCAATGACAACCCTGGGTTATTTGCGCGGTGTCCGAGAATGGGCTTATCCTACTCGAACAACATCAGCCTTCCTCGAGAAAGGCGTGCTTACGCCTGAAGAATTTGTTGCCGCTGGGGACGAGCTCGTCTTCAAGTGTCCGACATGGTCTTGGGAGGCTGGGGATCCTGGAAAAGCGAGGTCTTATCTACCTATAGGTATGAAGCTCTCTCCTCTCTCCACCATGTTCCTTTTATTGCCGCAACCTTTATCTAATTATTTTGTTCCTGTGTGTTTGTGGATTGAAAGACAAGCAATTTTTAGTGACTCGAAACGTTCCTTGCCAGAATCGTGTAGCCTCCATGGAAAACCATCTGGCGACGGAAGAAGCGGGCGATGGCGAAGACTGGTTGGTTTCGCATGTGAAAAAAGATACCAACTTGGAAGATGAGTTTGATATTCTTGATGACGACGGGGAAATTATGCAAAAGACGGAACCGGCCAAAGAAAATGCTGCTGGTGACAACGACGATGACGATGAATATGCCGACATGGATGCATTTGAAGATAACAATGTTTTGCAGGACGATGCTGCTGCCGCAAATCCAGTTGTTGCGGAACAAGAGAGCAATCTATTGCGAGTTCGCACCTACGACTTGTCCATCACATATGACAAATACTACCAAACTCCTCGAGTCTGGATGGTTGGGAAAAGCGCTGAGGGCCAACCACTCTCCGGGAAAGAAATGATGGAGGACGTCATGAGTGACTATGCCAACCGTACTGTGACAATAGAAAACCACCCACATGTGGCTGGGCCCCACGCCAGTATCCACCCTTGTCAACACGGGAAAGTGATGAAGACTATTGTCAAAAACCTCATTAAAGCAACAGCAGATGGAGAAGAAGAGAAAGGACCATCAGTGGAAATGTACATTTTCATCTTCCTAAAGTTTGTTTCCAGTATTATCCCGACAATCAACTACGACTTCACCATGGACGTGCAAGCTGATACCTCCAAGTGAGCAGACATGAGGAGATGCACTACCGGTACGATGTACCCGCTCCCTTCCAATAAGCAGTACTCGAGTATCGTATGAAGTAATCGGTCCCTTTGTCAGCTGTAATATTGTACTTAACTATGCCAATTCGTCAGAATGATACTACTCGGGAGCTCTACTCGGGTATGCATAGTAAATGGAATCAATCTACATGAACTTGCACGGATGCTTTCGGAATGGTAAATTGTGAGTGTTCTGTCCACTTATTGTGACCACTATTCTGCATTCCCACAAAAGAAAGGCAAACCTCGGCCTGGCTACCAAAGCTGAAGCCCCTCGCCGGCTTCTGCTACTAGTAACTTCTCTACTCCAAAAAACCATCACAATTAACTAGTCTAGTCTACTAGCTGCAGAGCTACCTAGCTAGCTCGCTAGGTCTAGTGGTAGCGGTATGTTTCAGGATGTTAGGATACCAGTACCGGTGCCGGGCTGTGGTACTAGTAGGACCGCACGGTAGTGACGACCACCACACACCAGCCATAGAAAGCAAACTACTACATGTATGCACAGATCTACTAGTACCGGTAGCTAGCTAGGAACTCTTATCAAAGCACAGCAACAAAAACGATACGCGAGATTCGAACTCGCAACCTCAGCATTAGGAGTGCCACGCGCTGCCATTGCGCCAGTATCGCCCTTCATCAACAGTTTTCGAAATGAAATCTTTGCTTCATGAAGATTGATTTGAATTGAGAGGCGATGGTCAACAGCGATGGTCAAAAGTACGACGTACCTGGTATCAAGCTTGCAAAAGCACAGCAGCAAGTGAGGCAATGTTAAAACAAAGGTTGTATTAGCACAGAGAATGTGAATGAATGATTGGCGGCAATGGGACTTCCCCCAAGGCACCTCTTTACTCAAGAATCTCCAACCATGAAGATGCATTAGCCACCAACAGAGAGAGGAATTCCCTTCTTCTATTTATCATCAGCAAATCATCAGGATAGCATACTATCGTTTAGTCATAGCCTCCAGTTCCAGCAATGAAATAGCTGGTAAAAATTGAAGCCACTGTTTTATCGACAGGAGCAACCTGGTACAAGAGAAGAGTGGAAAAGATAGCCAAAACAGATGGTGTGACATTGTAGCTGTTTTACAGACTGTTCTTTAATCGGCTACATCATCTACAGCAGCAGCTGGTACTCTTTCTACACAAAACTGACTCATCAACTCATCTGTTGTTGTCGACAACAAACTCTTGTTGGCAACCACTCATCTCTTGTTGTTGTGGACGAATGAACGGCCACTCAGCTCGACGGCCGTTGTCGTCGACGCAACCACTCAGCAGTGCCATGGTCGGTGGCTGACGTACGTCGTTGTTGTCGACGCAACCACTCATCTCGTCGGCCGACAACCACTCATCGCAGCGCCGCTCGGCAGCAGCAACAACAACACTCACAATCATCTTGAGAGATAAGAAGCCAAGAGGACAGAATTGGAGGCATGGGAAGCAGCAGCAACCTAGGCATTAGTATCCGATCTCTTGATTGGCTCTGATAACATCACAATGATGATGTTGTCAGTAATTCATTCATTTCATTCAACACCCAACCACGAAAAAACGCTACATAGATCGGAATCCTGGCCTCGGCTTAACGGCAAACTCGTCTTGACTGCTGCTTTCACTGTCATCGTCGGTTTTGGTGCTGTCGGACACTCTCGAAGGTCTGTCGGAGACTCTCGAAGGCCTGTTGTTGAGGGTACCAGCGGTGGCGACAGAAGTGCTGGTGGTCGGAGGAGAGTGGGAGATCTTCAACGCATCATTGTGTAGATCCACCATTGCCTCTGCATGCTTCTCTCGTGTTTCTCTGGTAGGAAAGCACCAATCTCTCTTGTGGATTCCTCGCAACTCCCAATCTTCCTTGGCCAAGCCAAAGAAAGAAGTATCATGCCACCGGACAAAGCAGGTGATGCTGTCGTCGACAACAAGCTCCTTATTCTTCCTTTTCTGCACCTCATTGAAATGCATGGCCCTATTGCACTTGACGCAAATGTGGGAACAGCTGTCGCCACAAACAACACAAATCTTGCTTCTTTGGTTTGGGAGCCTTTCCACTGTCGACATATGAGAGGAAAGGCCATCAAGTCTGCCACACAATCTGCCTTTGAAGTCAACAAGATCTTGTGGTGTGAGAGTGGAAGCTGTTGAATCAGGAGTGGTTGCTCTTTTTCGCTTCAAAGCTGATCTTGGGGGAGATGGATTCCTTTTCGAGTGTGACTGCTTTGTGGCAACACGAAAGTTTTGATCTCCGGGGTACTTTCGATGGATGGGATTGTATTGGCACATCTGCTTTGCGAGCTTCTCACGGAAGCGCCAAAAGTCCACCGGTTTATTCACCTTCCATTCTTCCTTTAAATTGCCTTCACAGCACTCAAGGTACATGTCATATGCAACAACCACAGCCATGGCCTTTGCGTGGAGCATTGGAGCATGCCAGTATTTCCAGGAGCTTCAATAAAAGTGATGAGGGAGAACAAGTAAGATAATGGAAGCACAATAATACACAATCGATTCTGCAATGTACTGACCGATAGGAGAGATTGCAATTCTGAATCATGTGGTCTAGTCTGTCAACACCACCATACGTCTTTAGATAAAGCTCTCTAGCTTCATTCATTTCAATTGCCCATTGTCTTTTGTAGGAACCTCTTCCGCGTTCTCTGGTGTGAGCATACAAAGAACATTGGTTAAGAGCATTGACTGTAGAGATATTGCAGGAAGATGTTGACTGAAAGGAGCAATGCACTATTGTGGCTTCCCTTGTAATGGACTTGGTGAGAACAATTGGATGCTCAAACCTTGCTGCTTTTGACTTGGCATTCACAACTGTCTTCTCCTTGTGGAAGTATTGATTAGGGACTTCTTTTGGCAATCTGTCACGTCGACATGTCATGGTCATGCCGAAGCCTTGTTTGCCAGCATAGTGTAGAACGTTATCACCAGAGAAGTGGTTGTCCCAAGTAAGATGTGGTAAATCCGTGAATATTTTCACAGCACTGGTTTCTTCGCCAATCTCATACCCAATAGTTAATGGATAAAGCTGATCCAAAATCTTCCTTGCTTCGAGTTGTCCACTTGTACAGTCCCAGTTTAGAGGTTTCTTGTGAAGCTTGTGTCGGTGAACATAGGCTCTTGGACGGATCCTGTCAACATCCACTGCTAGAACAATTTGTCCTCCTTTGTGAATGTGCGGCTTATTAAGAATCAAAGCAACGATCCCACTTTGAGCCTCTCCCCATCCTCCAAATGGCCAAGATGTTTCATCAGCAGCCAAATCCAATCCAGCTTCCTTGGTGACTGCATTACAGTTATGGATCAGAACGTTGTAGATGTAGTCAAACTTGTAAGCGGGATCATAGTCAGGGTCGCCTTTCTTTGGAACCTTCAAATTGTTACAGAGTTTGATAACTCTCTTGATCTCAAGCCATCTTGTCTTGGACATGGTTGATCCAATGAAGGGGCAGTTTGCAGTATTGCCTTCTCTTGGATCAAACCGACGCAACAAAGCACCAGAGCTTCCACCGTGCACACCATCCATCACCACAACTCCATCCCAACGTAGAATCTCACAAGGATTCAAGCACTTGAAATCGTGCCCATATCCATTGCCAAGGTCAAGCTCACCCATTGCATAAAGATTTGACCATTGCGATACCTTGTGGTAGAATCCTTTCCTTGGATCGTCCTTCACTGATGACTTGGATGGATCACAAATTGGAAAGAGCAATTGATAAAAGAAGAGAGCATCAGGACAACTATCTTGTTCGAGCATCCTTTCACTTTTGAGGCCAAGTGCTTCCAGCTTCCTGGCATCAAGACATCCTTTTCTTTCCTTTGGGAACATGTTGTTTTTGGTGGCTCCATGCCGGTATCCTGGAAAGCCAGCGTCCTCAGATCCATCCCACCCTTGATAATGAAATTCGAAACCACCGTGTTGTCTCTTTCCTGTTGCTTCGTCCAATGGGACAGGCGTTGCTCCAGTTGGAAGCGAATGGTAGGCATATGTGTGCTTCTCTTGTTTGTTCTTTACTTTCTTGAACTTTGCCGTGTACACGTAGGGAGACCATCCACCAGGATTATCTACATCCTTGAACATTGGCTCACCCTTGTCACACTTCTCTTTGGGAAGTTTCCATCCTTCTGGGGGACCAGGCGACTTCCAGTCAACAGGAGCACCTTCAATATGTTTTGGTTCGATGCCCTGGAATGTCTCATTGGACGAAGCCACAAAATCTGTATCATCTGGAATCGCCGCAAGATTTTCTTGTTGGTGTTCATTTCGTTCATTGGACACTTCTCTAAAAAGAGTGTTGTTCCCTGGTCCGTCTCCTTCGTCTTCTGATTCTGGATCTCCTGCATTCTCTTGATACCGTGCAGTGTCATAGTCTGCTTCATATTGAAGAGGGTCTATGCCCAATCCTTCGGTCGCTGTGGAATCATCTTGACGAGAAGGTGACGATGTCATTTCTGAAATGGATGGAGAACTACCCGCCAATACACTGCGCAAAGGAGTCCTTCGGGTACCACCAGAGCCACTGCTATTGCCATTGTTTCTTGGTGTTCTGCTGCTATTTGGTGCCCTTTCATTACTACTATGGCCGCCAGAAGGAGGCGTCATTGTCAACTTGATTTTTATGCTGCAGCGAAACAAAGAAATGATTCAGTCGCGTAGGTTCGGCACTGAACGCGCTGTGCGCCAAACAGCCATAAAATTGCCGTCGACCTGACAATGATAGATCTTCATGTCTTGAGACTAAGATAGAGTTTGTCAGCCATCAACATACGAGAATAGAGGGTAGAGGACCCATGTGCAAGAGGGTAGGCGCCCCTGATAATGGCGCAGAGTCTGTGTTAACACAGCTTAACTCAAAACCTAAATCAGCTATTTTATTGCCGTTCTAGTGTGCGGCCATGACTAAACGATAGCTAGCTCCATACTTGGTGGAAAACTATTGATAAGTCTAGTCTTACGAGGGCCCAGAAACTCGTACCGCTGGTTGCCGCTCGTCACCAAATTTTCCTAAAGTTGCGCGCCGTCAATCCCTCCAAGCTTGTCACGTCCGAAGGAATGCACATTTATTTTTGGCTCAAACAAAAACCTGAAGGGACACACACATACAGTACAGCATGCCAAAGGGGAGCTAATCATAGTTTTGGATTTCGCTCTTGCGCAACCTATCTCAGCAATAACTCTCACAAGGGCCTCGAGGAGCAATATGAACATGGAAATGGACATGGCGCACAAAACGGGTTACTTCTCCGGTCACGCCGTGGCTGGCACTGGATTCATCACCTTTGGGGTGTTCTACCTCTTGCTCACGTTGCACCGAGCTCGCAATCTTCCAAATGGTGTTTCGTTTGCAGATGCTCACATCCCGGAGAAGAACCATTCCTTCCTCATGGGAGCTGGGCTGGTTCTTATTCCAGTCACAATGTTTGGAGTTTGCTTTGAGGCCCCGGGTTGGGACAACATCATTGCTCCCGCGACCCATGTCACTCTCTATCTCACTATCATGCTGGTTGGTGTGGCAGCTCTTCTGGAAGGGATGAAGCGCCTACCGCAAGACAGCTCAAGGAGATGCCTTGTGTTTGCCATGATATGCCAGTATATTCTATGGAACGAACACGCCATGTTGAAACAAGTTCCAGCCGACTTTCGACTGCACGAACTCTTGGCACAGCTTTGTTTGGTGGGGGCGGCAGTCATGGCGTATTCAATTATGTTTCCGAAACATGTTATTGCTTTTGTGATGCAACCGGGGATTTGTGTCCTTATGGGCACGTGGCTGTACACAGGAGGATTTTATGCTGCTTACATTGACATTCCAGTAGGTCTGGTTGGTATTATATTGGTTCTTGAGGCACTCGTCATTGCGACCATCATTTTGTTGAGTGCTGCATTCCTTGTCCCCCAAAGTTACGGCCACAGACTCGATTCTCAGCCTCTCTCTTACAGATCGTTGCCAGGTCGGGAAATCATCGATGACAAGGACACACTGACATTTTTTGTAACGAACGATGTCGATTGCAAGCAAACAAATGTTTAAGGAACTGATACGGCCGTAGTGCGGTATGACGATGCTATACTGAGTCAAAGGTTGTCTCGTCCTGTTCCGGAACTCTGTAAAGTATTGGAAGCAACGATGTTGGTGACGTTATACAATTAATTGAGTAGTGGAATACCGGCACGGTAGCCATAGTGTACGACAGTAGTGGAAACGAAGATATCTTCGTTACTATATCATGGTACAAATCCACATTCATTCTATTATGAGTTTTGCTTTCGCACCTGGTTCAGCCGAGATACCATCCTGAAAAGTCACCTTGCATTTCCCAGCCTTGCCAAAAGGCCCGGCGATAGCCCCTGATTCGTTTGTACTGGGGATCACCACTTTCCATCCAACCTTTTGTCGAATGTCAACTTCTGGAGCAAAGAATCCAGCAATAATCGCCATGTTGTGTTTTCCGTCAGCCAGCACATCGCCTTTGATAGACGCTATTTCGCCATCCAATTTCACACCCTTTGGGGGTGCCTTCTTCTTGCCCTTCTTCGGCGGCTCGAGTCTCGTCCCGGACCTGGCGACGGGTAACTCAACGTCTTGGTGCATTGCTTTGGTGCTATCGTGTACAAAGCGCTTGAATCGAAGAATCAAGGGATCACCCTCTCGGGCTTCGATGCCGGCTGGAAACAACACCCGAAACTTCCCGGTTGTTCCGAATGAAGACTTTATTTCTCCTACTTCCCCATTTTTTGTCAGTAACTTCATTCCAACAAACACTTTCATGTTGGTCTCTGCTTTGAACAAGTCTGTACCAAAGACCTCGTAGCGAACTATACGTTGATCGTCGTTCCGTCGGTGTGGATCACCTAGCCTGGAGATGGCCCCTAGTTTCTCCTTGACCGTGTAAAGCTTGACTTGGTCGTTCCCGGTGTCATCCATTTTTTCAATGAGTCGGCCAGAGAAAGCCAATCGGCATGATGATGAAGACACGGAGTTATTCTCGACAGCATCCAGGCGTGAGCCGATGATGAGGCTGTTTGGAGGGCAAAACACTGGGATCTGGAATTCCAGTTTTGCCCAATTCAACAGACCACGATTGTCAGCGCTGTTTTTGTCAATTTCCTTCCCGCTGTCAATCAACTCTTCCTGAACTACAAAATCTTGATTGAAATCGAACGGTATCCGGGGTAGACCTGCAATGTTTGCGTCTCCTCCAAGTGATGATGACTGAAGTCCAGGCTCCTTGGCCTTCTTGGATCCTGTTACCGTTGCAGATTGTTCAGGTTCTTGTGTCTGTGAAATGTCCACATTTCTCAGCTCCTTGGCTCCGAAGAATGTCACGGTAGCCATGACAGTAGCATGCCCCACGCTGACATGAAATTTGCTCCCACACGGTAGATTGCCTGGGAAGTAGCTAACTTTACGAACAAGTGCAATCCCTCGCTTCCACAGCTGAATAGCACCAGGACTAGCAGCAATCCCACGTTCGAGCAACTTCGCATCCAGGTTACTGACGCATATTCCAGCTCGATCTCCTTGCATGATCGATTGTACCTGTCTCTTGAACATCTGTATGCTCTTGATCTATTAAGGAGCATTGGGCAAATAAAAACATTGAATCTTTGAAGTTGCGATGAAGCAATCGTCGTACATGTTACATGTACGTTTCGCACGAGTGCTCACCTTTCGTTCCAACCCCAAGGCTGGAAACTCTAGCATTTCATTGACTGACGCTGACCCATTCAGAACAGTCCCCGTCAAGACAGTCCCTCTCCCTCGTATGGGAAAGCAATGGTCAACGCTGAAGGAGAATGGTCCCGTCGAGCTTCGCTTTGGTTGTGGCAATTCACTGCGTAGGAGGTCAATGAGTTTGTCAATGTTGAAGTTTTCGTGTGCCATTTGCAAATGTGAGGTTTCACCATCACTAGCAGCAACTTTTTCACCTCCAACACATGCTGATACTCCAATGAGAGGCGCGTCTGCAAAGCGGGTGCCTTGGAGTCTCTTCCGGACACTATTCTTTGCCTTTTCAATGAGATCATCTCGTTCCTCGGGTGCAAAGAGGTCGACCTTGTTGAGGGCCACGACAATGTGCCGACTGGTGAGGAGTGCCAAAACGAGGCACTCTGTAGTTTGTGCCTGCCATCCCTTGAATGCATCCACAACAAGAAGTACCATGTCGATGATCTGGGCGCCACCAATAATTGTCCGAATCAGACTAGCATGCCCTGGGCAATCCACAAGTCTGTTAGTACAGTGTTTATAATAATCAGAAATACCGTAGAACAAGGATGAGGTGTGATGAATAAAGAAACAAGAGCACGGAAACAAGCTCAATACTCGTACGGTACTTCCAAGAATGGATCCACACTCACGTAATCTGAAGTTTTTCTTTGGTTGGAAATGATTCCTTCAAGTGGGGAGGTAGATCTTGGATGAAACAACTGCAGAGAAAATCTGGTTAGATAAGATGTTCATAAATGAACAACCATCGTGTCACACCAAGCAGACTTGCCTGAAACCTAGGTCTAGCGTCATTCCCCGTTGGCGGCTCTGTTTGGATTTGTCCAGGGCTGCAGTGGAAAGCATGGTAGAGAGTGTCTTGACAAGAGACGTCTTTCCGGAATCGACATGGCCCAAAACACCCACATTTACGTTCAGGATCTTTTCATGGTCTGGCTGTTCGTTGTTTGCTGTCCCCTCTCCAGAGCTCATGGTTCAGTTAGTCTAGGTATTGCGTACAATATATAATAGCTTTGTTCGACTGCCCTGTCCTGCCTGCAGAACTGGCCTTGGAGGTCGGTTGGTCGATCGTTTGAGACTTGAGACGCGGCCTCTTTGTTCAGGGGTAGCGTTGAGCTAGCTTGTGACGTCATAATAGTCGCACATTGGCCCCTAACTTGAGGGTATCTACGTGTTTGCTCGAGGGCAATTGATTGCAACAACCCATCACTCGTCCATCCCAAGCCGTGCTCAAAAAGTGGACAATGGGGCCTTGAAGTCAAGTTCTTTTCGAACGCATCTCCCACGGTCAAAAATTAACACTCATTTCAAGCTCTCTTAGCGTCTCAGAGCGTCTTTGGACCTTAGTTTGGGAATTGGTACGGTACGTCGATGTGAGCAGCGGTTTCTGACGATGAAAAAAGATAACCAAAGAAAAAGTGTGCTTCTCTTTTTCATAGAAAACGTGTGCTTTTCTATGGGTGGATGCAGATGCACTTGTTTTCTATTCATCGCTCTTATCTCCTTTCTTTTCTTGCCTTATCTGGCGACACATGCTGTACAAACAATAACAAGGTATCATCAAGAGGATCCGCGGAAAAAATGACAGCCAGCGAACCATCGCCTGAACAAGCAACCAGCACGGCAGGACTCCCGGCAATTCCCACCTCTTCGGACCTGTTCGAGGGAGAGCTCTTTAGCGATGAACTCATTGACATTTATCACGCAGCCGTCCAAGAAGGGAGCGGACCTGATAAGATGGCGCAAGAGAACGGTGAGCTCTTTTGGAGGTTTTTGTGGCATCACAAAACATTGTGTGTGACTATTCTTCGGAGCCATACTCATGGAAACTTGTTCTGAAATTCAATTCAAAGAAATCCCGTCGTTGCCGGTTCAACCACATGAACCAGAAAAAGAAGTGGCTACAGACGATGCAGCATCCGCAGCAAATGTAAACCACCCAGGAGCACGGGTCGCTGCTACTGCTGCTGCACTAGACAATGGCTTGGCTCCTTTTAGTGCCCCTGGTCCCTTTGTTGTTGCAGCACCGCCTGCTACTACGTCGCAAGTGGTTGTTGCCACAGCGACGCCCAACCCGGTAGTTGTACCTGCTACAGCGACGCCAAACCCGATTGTTGTACCTGCTGCAGCGACGCCAAACCCAGTAGTTCCCGCTGCAGCTGAAGCACCACCCATCCAAGTTGTAGTCAACGACCCTATCAGCAACAATACTGTCGCTTCTCCTGCTGCATCTATACCGGTGGCCAAAGGAAATATACCGTCTGACTCCCTTGGTCCGAAGAGAAAGCCAGAAACAGACCTGCAAGGGAGCGCGCCCAAGAAGCAACAACAATCCCCATCGGTTGCAGCGACACCAATATCGGTCGCCTCTAGCATCACGGCAGCAGCAAAGCAATACACTGCCGCAACTGCTGGGGCAACGGCGGCAAAAGCATTGACGTCAGGTAGTACTGCTGGAATGCCACCAAAGACGGTTACTTCAGATGGATCAGTTGCTTCCAGTAAGAAAATGAGCGATGGTGAAGGGCCAGAGTCGGCACCAAGAGCGGCAACAGAAGCCGATTTCAAGACGGTTGCGCAAGCGGCTGTGTCCAGCCTCATTCTCAGTACCAAGAATGGGGAAGTTCCCGCGGGTAATCCTGACGGATGCAGCGAAGACATTGATCTGAGCACGGACCACATCAAGAATCTAACGGGTAGCAATTGGGTTGCTGCCTGTGCAGGTGCTGGAGCCGCCGCTGTGGCTGCCGGCGGGGGTTCTGCCCCTATTGCAGAGGGGGGAAAGGCAGGCAATCGCAAGAGGCAGAATTTGACCGCGGATGAACGTGCTCGTCAAAATCGTGATCGAAATCGGGAACATGGTACGTTTGTCGCCAGGAATATTCGACAATGGTATCACAGGCTCTGGGCTAACGGTCATCTCTTGTCACCACAACTACATGTATGCATATGTCGATCTACCCAAGCTCGGAACACAAGGCTACGAAAGAAGGCTTATGTCGAAGAACTCAAGCGAACCTTGACTGAACTAGTCGCGCAACGTGATCGAACTGAGCAACACAATCAACAAACGGCTCAGAGGGAGGTAGAGCAAAGGGAAGTTCGCTTTCGAGTTATCGAAGAGTTCCTCAAATTACGAGCGCGCAATGAGGCAAATCAAAACAGCTGGGCAGCAATCTTGCATAGCAGCTTTGTTCTGACGATGCCTTGTGATGCTATCAATCGAAGAACAACAACTGCACAGGGTACCGTTCCGCTCGAACACATTTTTTCTGGTGCCGATGGTGTGATGAGGGAATCCAACAACTTTGCTACGTTTCTCCAGTCTGTAAGAAGCGATGCCAATGAAGGCCGGAACCCTGCAATCGTGTTCCAGTACTATTGCGATCGAACCAACTTCTTTATGGACGACGATCGCGCTGTGCTGGACTGGAGCGCCAATACGTCAGGTCTCGTGGAGAGGGTAAGCAGTGCCTTTCGTTGCCACCCTACCTGGTATCACTGCTGCTAGTAGAATGAAACTCAATCTTGCTCACTGTTGTATACATGTGCACTGCCAGGGTCTCCAACGTGAGCTGTCAATACGCGGATCTATCAGGGCAGAGTTTTGTCCGGCTAGCAATAAGCTGCTTTCTGCGAGCATGGTGTTTGACACCGGGGCAATTCTTTCACAGCTCAACCAGTTCATTCATGTATCGGCGGGGACCGCTTACTATGCTGAAGCCCAGGAAGCTTCGCACAGAGCCAATGCCATTTTGGATTCTCTTCAAATGCCTCACCTCGCAACTTCTTCGGGGGGAGCATGATTGGGTTACATGTATATGTATGGCAGTCTTGGCATCTCCCCACTGACGGCCCATGCCCGAGCTGCCAAATATGCTTCGATTCAAACACTCAGTTTTATTGCAGATTGTCTTATCCTAGCTAACTACATGTAGGACCCCCCAGTTGTGCCTGTTGCGATTAGTGGCGCTTCCGGTATTTCAATTGCAGACGAATTATCGGTGCTCGTGGAGGCCATGCCGCGGGAAAGCCTGGCCCCGGCGAATGCCATTTGGGATTCTTCAGCTACAGCATGATTAGAAGTGCCGGACAAAAACCTAACTAAGGTAGAGCACGGAGCACTTCTTTGGCTATTTGTAGCGCCTAAATGCTACAATTTGGCTGCAGAGGTAGGGCGATTTTTGGGATCGAATTGGTCCTACAGTCCTACCGGTATTAGTACAGTCGTAGTTTGAGACAGGCCAATTAGGCACGTTCGTTACAAAGCTTTGTTTTACCGAAAAGAGAACTTTCTCCTTTGGTTATGCATGGAATCGTTGGTGGTCGGGCACTTTGCCCTGCTTGGCACCCTTCTTCTTTCGAGCAGGTTTCTTCGCGTTGGGATCCCCAGAACTGGAGGCGCTTCCATCGGACTCGTAGTCGGAAGAGTCTGTGGACGACTCTCCAAAGGCTCTCTGCTTGTGGAAAATGCAGCACCGCTTGGAGCTCTTTCTTCCCAAGCCCTCATTATCGACAACATCCGAATCCCTAGAAATAAATAAAAAATATACATGTACAGTGAGTTCGATCGTTGACGAATATTGAATAACCAAAAGCCTCGCAGGACAGATTTCTTTCAGAGCGTGCGAATCAAAGGAATCTTACCATCTCACAGTGGGTCTAGGCTGAAGGGTCAGAGTCAGTGTTTCGGGCTCTTGGGTAGCAGTCTCTGTCAGAGTGACAGTTGCCACAGCACTATTGCCTGCAGCGACGCTACTGGTGCCAGTAGTTCGAGCCGATGGTGCATTCCCGCTCGGTGATTGACCTACCACCCCTCGGGGAGTAGGGTTTGATCCTTCTGATGCTGTAGTACTATCGTTCATATCGGTAAGTGTCTTTTATTGAGCCTGGTTATTCCAGTTGCGTTTGTGTCTTCGTTGCTTCTTGCTCTTCTTGTTTGTTGTTTGTGTCTTCCATGCATTTTGCTGTTGTGCCTCGATTGCCGCCGCTTCGTTCACGTTCGAAAGAGCTTATAAAGTACAGTAGGGATAGTGTTTTATAAAACCATATCCCTAGTTGAAGTAAAATGTGAGCATGAAAACTCGCCTCGCGAAGCGTCTTCTGGCTTTGGCTCGAAGAGGCTGATTTTGAAAATTCGCTTGGTGCATTCATCTTGTGGGTTGGACGTGACGATGAGGAATGAATCCCCAGCGCTACGGCGGAAACAACAGGAAATGGCGTATCGATTGAGAGCAAGGCCACCTGCTCCAGATACGGATGAACGGCATCAAAGACGGCGACAGCAGAGTAGGTGGAATGGCAATGGCCAAGGAGCCACCAATGATTCGGACGAATTCAAAGCATCGGTCCGGATTGTAGATGGATTTCCCGTGGAGTACTCTTGTCGTGACGACCCTCGGCAAAAGTCCTTCCAAGATGACGCCAATCTTACTAAAATCTCAATCAACTTTGACTATGAAATGGTCACCATGAAGAATGCCCGCGTCCTCGAGAGCATTCGATCACTTGAATGGAGTTTGCTTTGGAATGTCGCCAGAAACATGGGCCTGCACAACTGCAACTATAGAAAGCAGGAGCCGCTTTCTGACGGAGAGCGACATCTGTCGTCAGAAAATTATGTTGTAGGCTTGTCCAGTCTGGAGTTAGACGATGTGGACCATAACATCGGTAAGTACACTATAGCTCAATGAACGGTTTCTACTGCGACAAGGAATGAATGAACGCTCAAGAATCACGATCATCTCGCTTGGTCACGTCACAATACAGATAAATGCACTTTCCTTACCAGCCCTCAGAAAGGACTGGTGTGTACTCCAATGGTTGGTAGAATGACAGCTCATTTCATCGGAGACAAAAGCACCATTAGAAGCTACCTGGAACACAACATCAAAAAGGAACTGAACTCCAAAAGAGTACAAATTGAACAGGTAAAGGAATGCCATTTCGTAGGCGACAGAAGCAGCCTACTACAACCATTGGCCAACGTTCGAGAAGAGCTGCACTCGAGAAGCAGCACCATGAATCTTGCCCTCGTGTTTGGAGCAATCGCTGCCGCCATTGTGCTAAGTTTGGCTATCTTGATGGCGAGAGGAAGAAAGTCGAGACGGCGACAGCACACGTTGGACGACGATGCAGCCCTGCCAAACTTGCCATCAGTATTGTTTCAGAAACCTATGCAAGGGCAGGCCATTGATATCGTTCGACACTCTTGCTCCAGCGATACACAAGAGAGCCTGCCGCCAGCTGAGAGCAACATTATTGCCTGTGAGACACTAGACGATGACCTACCTTTAGGAAATCGAGAGATTGTGATTCCATCGATCCCGCTGCCTGCTTCCACTGAAGACGGACCGTTATTCATTGATGATCAGCCAATGGAAGTGAAAGCACCTGCTGAAGAAACACCTGACACAACAACTTCGGAGGACAAGGAAAACATGGGTGTGCCGCCATTACCAGCTTTAAAGGTTGTCCCAGTAGACGATCAAAAGCCGAAAGACCCTATGGCAAAGTCCAAGACCCTTCAGCCCAAACGAAAGAGGAGAAAGAAGAAGAAGAAGAAACAAAGAGTACTAAAAAGGACGTCAAGCAGAAACTCAATTGATGAGATGGAAACAATCCGAGAAGACGATGAAAGTGTCGATGATGAAGGCAGCGAGTTCGACGGATCTGAATACTCCACTGACGACGAGGAGAGCCCATTTAGCTCCAATCTGGATGATGAACAGGACGTCGTTGTCCCTCCTTCTCCAATCCTGGAGGAAAAGAGAATCAGGCGTCTTCCGCCCCCGTGGATATGAGAGAGCTGTCTAGTTGCTGTATTGCATCGTCGAGGAAAGGGGAGCATTGGCTCTCCTCTCTAGCTGCACATACAAATGCTGATGAAAGACCAGGAATGCAGTGAGGGTAATGCTGTCGACCTTCAAAGGTGAACCAACAAAAACATCAAAGTGAGGAATGCTTCCTCCAGGTAGAAAAGAAGGCAGTTATTTGGAGCCTGTTTAGCAGTATCACCATAAACTATAGAGCACATGTAGGTACTGTTGTAGTCAGGATCAGTTTTTTAACATGTACCGGTACTAGTAGCTACAGTCGCACCCCTTTGAAAGGCAGCGTCTAACAGAGATTCAATCATTCATTGTACCAGGTACTGGCTAGTAAATCCATTAGGATACACCCGTAGACCGCCGCAGCACTGCTGAAAGGACAACGGCTCGCAACAAATAACGAAGCAGAATGTTCAATCACTTCATGGATCGCTCAAGAGGACATCAATGATAGCAAGCGAAATCGAGTACAGCCGTATCTTCGACCCAAACCAGAGCTAGATCCACCTATTAACAAGTTAAATCTACTCAAAGGAAGAACGTGGTTCGTGGTGAAAGATCAAATCATCTTATATTTACTTTAGCGATGTCTAATCAATTTCCTTCAGCTTGCGCCAAGTCCAAATAGCAAGTTTCAGATGTTGCTAAATGTTTAATAGTAAGTTCCGTCGGACTTTCCCTGGGCATCAAGCACACCAGTCCAGTACTTGGATTCGAAGGCTAACTTGGCGTTGACATCAACTTGGACTTGCAAAGATCCTCCTGATTGACGGACGGGGTATGAGGGAACACCGACGGGGGAGAAGGCTCCTCCGATGATTTTTCCAAGTCCAGCTGGGCACCAGTCAACAACTTCACCAGTTTTCAAGGAGAATTTGGTTCCAAGGACAGGATCTTGGATGGTTCCGTCATCATTGACTTTTCCGAAGGAAAGAGGCTGGTTGACTGGGGGGCACTTGTCTCCAAGAGCATAAACAGATCCCTTAGGGTCGACGGCAATGCAGATTGCAAGACCTCCAGCAACTCCAGATGTGGCACTTCCAGGTTTGGGGAGGTCACTCAAAGGAATGCATGGAACGTAGGCGAGCTTTGGCTGAATAGCAGCCATGGAGAGTGCAGAAGAACTCTTGACCGAAGTTCGCAGAGGCTCGCCAGTGAAGGCAGAGACGCAAGCGATGAGGGTGGCAAGGATAGTGAGCTTCATGGTGAATCTGTTATTACTGGACCTGAGTGGTAGAAAAGAAAGATATGAGAATACGCCATTATGGAAGTCATGAATCAGCGAACGACACCCCCTCCAGCATAAGACAAGACCACAAGACAACAAGAATCCCAGGGAGGGGAGGTTTGTTGCTGCCGCCGATCAAGCTCTACATGTTGCCGGCCATGTTACGCACCTGCAAAGGAAGGAAATGTGGAGACGGAATTGTGTGGTGTGCCTTTCGAAGGACGGCTCAACAACAGTCGAGAGAGCTGTCTTTCTTTGCGTACTACAGTCGTAGCTAGCTAGTAGTTGTTGTGGCTGCGATCCAAACGTCAACGTACATAGTTGTAGTACTGGGATAGCGTAGAAAGATTGAGTTCAACTTCATCTGGAGTGAGTCACGAGGCTGCTTCAGGACTTGTCAATCACGCCACGTACGTGTGAAATTCCTCCACGCTGATTCATCATTCAGAATTCGATTCACTTGTATGACATCATACGAGTCCACCAATTCGACCCGACCCCACTCTTTATTGTTTGTGGTGCTAGCTAGCTAGCTCTCCAAGACCGGTTCCTCTCGCCAACCATTCCCCCTCCCAGCACCCCCCTGGTCTGACAAACTACCAACCCACTCCCAACGCTCCTACGCTCAATTCCTTTCAGCCCCAACTGCCATCCTCCCCACCGCCGATACACATTTCGTAACTCCCACCAACTACTCCATCCACACATACCCCTACACACCTTCAACACCAATCACTCGCCCTCAATCTATCTACGCACTTGGCACAACACTTTCAACACGCCATTACACACCAAGCATGATCCCTCTATTGTTCTGCTCATCCCCATCCTCAGTACTTGCCGGTCCATATATGCCTACATCACGCCCTGAACCCTTGGATCCCTTCCCACACTTTCTACAAGCGAAAGTTACCTAGTGACGTTCCTTTCACGTAATTCCCTATAGTTATTTGTTTATTATAGCTAATACGTACGGGTATGGCCGCCATCCCCGAATGTTAAACTCACTACATGTACTCCTCGTGACAGCCATGGCAATGGTACCCGAGAGTAGAGGTTAGAAAGCAAAGCCTTGCCAGTAAACATGACGCTGCCGGTCGTGGTGAAAGCATTTATATAGGCTGTTGTAGCGCAACCCGAAAACTTCGGCT